TGAACACAAAGTTTCAGGGAAAAGTTTGTTTTTTTTCCGGGTGTTCAAAAAATAAAAAAAATGATGTCATTTTCCAATAAATGTCCAAATAAACCATTCTAAAAACGCAAATAAAAATGGGTTGATGTAATTTTTACAAATTTTTACAAATATTGCAGTAGTCCCGCATAACAGTAAATCTTTTATTTTTTGTTTAATAAAAATTTTTAAAATAAAAAGCAAAAATAAAAATCACGGGCCTGGAGACATGATGATGAACAAAGAAAATCTTATTTTAGAGCCCAGGGAAAGTCTGCCCTTTTCATTTGGACCTTTTTTTTGAAAAATTTTCCCTTTTTTTTTTTTCGTGAAATTGGCCCCAAATTTCCCAAAAATTTTGACCATGTTTTGGGTAAATTTTAAATTTGGTAAAAGGGCATTTCTTTTTCCAAACGAAAAAAGAAAAAATAGAGTTCTAAGAAATAGTTTTGGTTTGGGGTTTTATGGAATAACCCAAATTTGCCGAAAATTTGGTCAAAGTGGGGGGGAAAATTTTCCGATTTTTTTAAATATCGCCCCCAAGTCGCTAACTTCCCCGAGGCGTAATTCCGTCAGGTTTTTTCCCTCAATTTATTTTTTTGGTGTCCTTAAAAAATTTGGGAAAAGATTCCCCTAAAATTTCATAAGAAAAAAAAATTTTTTTTTTTTTTCGAATTTTTTTTTTTTTTCGAAACGGGGCAATTTTAGGGTTGGGCCCTTTGACAGTTAAAAAAGGGGTTTTTAAAAATCCTTTGAAAATGGTTTAATAATCCTATTAAAATCCAATTTAAACATTACAAGTCCCACTATGTATTTATCCAACCTAAATTTGAAACTACCCCAAAGGGTTTTTGCTTTTTTATGGAACCTTGGGTAAACTTTAAAAAAAGATTGGACAAATATATGAGTGGGGGGGATGGTTTTGGGTTTGGGAAGTGGGGGCATAATAACATTAGGGGAAAGGGCGGAAAAACTGCAAAAAGGGGTTTTTTTGGGCCCCTAAATAGGAGGGGCCTTCCCAGATCCAACCCAAAAAATAAACCTTACCCAACAATAAACGTTGGGCAATTCTATTTACCAAACTTGACCCGTGTGTTAATGGAGTTTTAAAAGGAAGCTGACATCGAAAAAATTTCTGAACCCCTGAGAAGATGCACCCGTTTTACTTCTTTGAGTGATGCGAAAATTTGATGAATTTTGATAAATAAATAAGCCCCAAAAAATTGATTTTAGCATCATATTTAAGTATTTTGTCGTGCCTCCTAAGAGCGGGAAATTTCCGCTGGAAAGAAATTAAAAAACCCCTTTCAATTAAATTTAAAAAGAGGAAAATTGACCAGTATATGAACAAAATTTGGGAAAACGAAAAGAAATCACGGGAACGATTAAATTTGTAAGCCGAGGTTCCACCCGTAATTTTATATTGAAAACTGGGGTTGAAATCAGGAAGTCTGTCGACCCTATGATTTTTACGTGTGCAAAAATTTGTAAATAAATAAATAAATAAATAAATTATTTATCTTCTTTGCCACTGCCTTTGTATTCTTCTCTTTTTGTTCTTTCCTTCTTGACTAGATCTTATCTAATTGATATGCCCCTGTAGCATTATAGCTTTCTTATGTCTGTTACTAGCAATGCATTTTTATATCCAACCAGAATGAACATTAATTGTAATGGCCTATACTCGTCTTTCACATATTTTTGCAATTTGCCTGTCTTTAGTGTTCATAATAAAGACACTAATAGGTGGGAATCTTTTTGTTACAATGTTATACTCAGGGCTGTGCTTCGTCATACACAAATTAGTCAATCAATTTTATTTCCTGGAATGAGAAATAAGATTTTGTTCAGATTTTTAACCCCAGAGGGTTAGCCACCCAGGATAACCCAACAAAGTCAGTGTGTTACCAAGGCCTGTCTGTCTTATTTCCATTGAGGGCCTTAAATCTTGTTCCCCAGGATGCGACACCCACCAGTCGACTAACACCCAGGTACCTACTTGCTTGCTAGGTGAATGGGGACAACAGGTGTAAGGAAATAAGCCCAGTGTTTCTACCCTTCTTGGGGATCAAACCACAGACATTGTGTGTGAAGCAAGAGCATTGCCTACCAGGCCACGGGACACTGTGTTGTTGATTCATTTCTGGGCTTAGATCTTTTGTACATTTTAAGGAAAGCCCCAAGTTATGCAAAGCATTTTGAGCAAACAATCTAGTACATACTTACAAATTGCTTAATTCCAGCAGAGGAAGGCCCTGCATATACAGCAGGTTAGGTTCTGGGCTTCTGTTGTAAAGTGAAAATTGTTGTAAAGTGAAAGATAGCCTTTTTTTTTCACTTTCAAATGCATATAAAAGCCTGACAACATGTTTACTCAATCATATATTAAGTGAGCAATAGAGTTAGGCCTAAAAAATGTATATACAGTATATACATTTCTTACCTTAAAATATATTTGTCCTTGTAGTGAGTTGTGAATATATTTATTGTCGGAAGTCTGAATAAATGAAGAATGGGAATAACTGAAAACTCCTTCATTAGTGAAATGCTGTCAAGCCAAGTGCTGTGAAGTGGGGCACTTCTGTACAAGTGCTGTGAAGTGGGGCTCTTCTGTACAAGTGCTGTGAAGTGGGGCCCTTCTGTACAAGTGCTGTGAAGTGGGGCTCTTCTGTACAAGTGCTGTGAAGTGGGGCCCTTCTGTACAAGTGCTGTGAAGTGGGGCTCTTCTGTACAAGTGCTGTGAAGTGGGGCCCTTCTGTACAAGTGCTGTGAAGTGGGGCCCTTCTGTACAAGTGCTGTGAAGCGGGGCCCTTCTGTACAAGTAATTGGATGACAATTATAGCATGTACAGTAATTTAAATTTTGTGTGACAAATCATCATGGATAATATCTGTGTATAAAGTGGATTAGATTGTGATAGAGAGGTAGTAGTGTAATAAACTAGTGGTGTAAAATACAATTGACATGGTAAATATAAATGATTGTTACATACAAAAATTTTATATCAAATTCAAGAGATGCATTTTGACAATGTTTTTGAAAGTATCAGAAAATCATGAGTTTTTTAAATCCTTCAGGTAGGTTTTTTCTAAATTTTGGGTAATTTGATTTGCAAGGAGTCTCTGTTTAGGTTGAGTTGTACATGTGGGATATCAGAGATTTTGTTTCTAGTGTTGACTGTGATCTGTTGCATTTCCAGGAATTATTTAGTTCAGGGTTAATATTTGTATTGAATATTCTGTTTAATATGTGAGGTAGTATGTGTGGATACGTTGTATTTTAATTATCTTCAAATCTTTAATTAGCGGAGGGTTGTGTTGTCTGGAATCAGATTAAGTAGTTGCTCTGATTGCAAGTTTTTGTTGGGTTATGATTGGTTTTAGATGATTGGCTATTGCAGATCCCCATGTACAAATAACATGGGTGAGGTAAGAATAGATAAACAAGTAGTATAAAGCACTGTAGTGTTGTTTGTGGTACATAGTAACATATTCTTGAAAGAATTCCAAAGCCCAGCCTTGAGTGAAATATAGTAATTAAAGGATTCCCTCCAACCTTGTCTTCATTTTTGCTTGTTGGCTTTTACTACTGCTTACCTATCTTCATTATTGCTCAGATTTTCTATATGCAGCCTCTCCTCACTTAACGACGGAGTTCCGTTCCTGAGACCACGCCGTTAACGAATTCGTTGCTAAGTGAGGAGCATACTATAATGGTAGTGAGTTTGTGTCAACCATCTTTGATATTGTTTTAATGTCATCTTTGCACCATTTATAACATTTCTGGTATATTTTTAAATGTTTATACAGTAGTGTACTGTTTATTGAAATAAACAGAATAGAGGAAAGCAGCTCTAATATACGTTATTTAGGTATGAATACTGGTCAGACAGCCCATCGTAAGTCCGAGGCGTCGGTAAAAGAGTACGTCGCTAAGTGAGGAGAGGCTGTATTGTGTAATCTTATTGATTTTATATACTTGTTCATTGTTTCTGTGTTTTGAAGTCATTTTCAATACAATTGGAAAAATAATGATGTTTTCTCTGCTGGTATTTGCTTTCAATAACTTGGTCATATTTCCAGTTATTCTTTAATTTCTCTGAACTGGAAGGGTTCTTTCCATTGCCTCAACTATTTTTTTTTGTTCTATTCTTCATTTTCTTTTAATATATTTGTTCAACACTTCTCTTAGATTTGCAAGAATATTTCACCTTTTGCTGAATTTCTGTTCTTTAGCTTCTCTTGACCTGTTACAGTAGTTGTTTTAGTGTTGCTTTTCATTCTGTGCTCATGCAAATTATGGGTTGCTAATTTTTTTTTTTATATAGTTTATGAAATTAGTTTGGCTGTCTATCATGTTCTGCCTCTAAATCTATACCCATGATATTTATCTGTGTTACTAATTCATCATTTTTTGATAGCTCATAAATTGTTTTTTATTATTTATTGTGCTATTCTTCCATTTTTTCCATCTTATCAAGATGATGTACATTTTTTGTATGTTATATCTGTCTGTTGCAAATATTTTGTTCATGTGTGTGTGTGGTGTGTGTGTGTGTGTGTGTGTGTGTGTGTGTGTGTGTATACTCACCTAATTGTGGTTGCAGGGGTCGAGACTCAGCTCCTGGCCCCGTTCATGTGTGTGTGTGTGTGATGTGTGTGTGTGTGTGTGTGTGTGTGTGTGTGTGTGTGTGTGTGTGTGTGTGTGTGTGTGTGTGTATGTGTGCATGTACATAAGTGTGTTTGTGTTTGCTGTGCACATAAGTTTAGGTGAAAATGGAATATCTACTTTAAGTCTGCATATATTGACTAGCATATAATTCTTAAGCACACAAAATCTCTCCATATTATGTCACCAAAGAATACAGTTTTGGTATATTTCATCCCCTCCCCTCAATCTCTCATCCTCCTCTCCTTTACCTTTTTCCATTTCCCCATCTCTGTTCCTTTGCCTCCTTCCCCCCCACCCCGTCCCCTCTTCAGCCCTGGACGGCCACCACTGAGTCCGACACTATCTCGCAGCAGGTCGCTCGACTCCTGCCGTGAGCACAAGCTGCAGACGATGAGACGACCTGGCCCTCCAGCAGGGGGATCTCAGTCTGAAGAAGAAGCACTTCAATCAGGTATGAAGCTTGCTTATTTCACTTCTCTAAATTCTTTATTTTAAGCATTTGCAGGTTATGGGAGTTATATTGTAATGGATTGTCAGCTCTGAAGGCCATTTCAAAACAATCCCCCCCCAGTACAATACTTTGTACAAAATTACCCAAGTTACATCATGTGATGTATTATCTGGACAAAAATTAGGATGATCAATTTGAGCCCTCAAAAAATAATTTTTTTAGCAGTAATGTGAGACCTTGTTTTGGTCTCACTGATATGAAAAATAATAAAGTAAAAGGGATTAAGCTGAATTTTCAGTCATGTTAATATTCACAGAAACACTTTATATTGCATAGGGATCTTTGTCAAACAGAAATCATTATTCATTGGACATGAAAGTTGTCAGAGAGCAATAGTGAATTAAGATAGTAACTGTTTCCTTCTTGCCACAAGTTCAAAGAAGCCAGCAATAAATACATTAAAATAAGAACAGAGAAATTTTGAAAAGAAGGAGTACCCTGTTCATTAATGGAAAAGGTTATGTTGGAACTAACTCTCTGTTCAAGTTTGTAAAATGCAAAATTAATTGTCAAAGATAGAATTCAAATGATAAAAAGTCAGTAACAAAAATGCATTCAGAGGGAGACATATGAGATACCAAATATGATGTTGTAGAGTTTATTTACTAAAAACATCTTAAATTAATGGGTGTTGAACCTAATAATGCTAAATGAGATAGAATCCTTTAAAAAACCATACCATGGGCGGGATAGAACCCGCGATCAGAGAGTCTCAAAACTCCAGATCATCGTGTTAGCCACTGTGCCAGCTAGCCACAATAAGATTCATCCAACTAGGTATATTTCTACACCATAGGAAGGTTAGCATAGGCACCACTGTGACCACAAATGCAAGTTTTTACAAACGAATCTCCAGCTAGCGTGGCTGTGACGAACTCTAGCTCAAGTCCACTCAAAGCCATCAACATGACTCATGAAATTGTAATAACACGACTGCAGACAAACCATACCATGTGTGGGGATAGAACCCACGATCAGAGAGTCTCAAAACTCCAGACCATCGTGTTAGCCACTGGGCCAGCTAGCCACAATAAGATTCATCCAAGTAGGCATATTTCTACACCATAGGAAGGTTATCATAGGCACCACTGTGACCACAAATGCAAGTTTTTTACAGACAAATCTCCAGCTAGCATGGCTGTGACAAACTCTAGCTCAAGCCCCCTCAAAGCCGTCAACATGACTCATGAAATTGTAATGACACGATGGTGCCTATGCTAACCTTCCTATGGTGTAGAAATATACCTAGTTGAATGAATCTTATTGTGGCTAGCTGGCCCAGTGGCTAATGCAATGGTCTGGAGTTTTGAGACTCTCTGATTGCGGGTTCTATCCCCAGGCCGTGGTATGGTTTGTTTCCAATCGTTCATATGGCATATGAAGTTCTTCATAAAAAAATAATCAGGAAATTATAAAATATAGTAAGAATTAAAGACAAATTGTTACAATTTGTAAGAAATTTTTTTGCATCACTAGTGGGGTTGCACAAAGATCAGTACTTACCTTTCAAATGTCTTTATTTAAATATCTTACCAGAAGGAAAAAATAATGATAAAAATATATGTGGATGTTGTGAAGTACAATAATAAAATTGCTGTACAACTCTGCAACAAGATAGTGATAAATGGATGGTGAGATTCAACATAAATGTAACATGGATAATGGAAATGGGTGAAAATGAAAAGGGATCCAAAAGATTATATATTGACATGAAATAGTGTCTTTAAAATTCAGACAGTGAACGAAGATATGGCTTGTTATCAACAAGCTCTCACCAGAAAATGGGTTGCAAAAGCTCCTATGGAGTACTGACAAACTTCCAAATGCAGTAGCTCTCATATGTATGGATTACAAAATGCTGTAAAGAAAAATTTACAAAACTGGAATACTGCTGCTGTAGTATGGTCATAATGCATAAAATAAACAATACCTAGAATTAGAGCCAACAAATCATGTGGCACAGCAATGATAATATTGAAAAAACTATATAACAAAGAGTGAAACTTAAGGTAGGAACACCATAGCTTTTTTCATGTAACTATAAACAATTAATGCCTGACACTTGTAGACTGTGCAGTAAGCTGTACATGGAATGCCATATGTGAGAATCATAACAATGCATCTCTCAAGCAAACACTCAAATGTTAAGCACTGGCAGCAGTAATTTGGAAAAAAAAATGGCAATGATTGAATGGAGTGTAAAGATTGCAATCCTTAGTTTAAAAAGAAAGAACAAAACTTATTTTTCTACAAATAGGTTTGATTTCATCTATAAAATGAGAAATTGAATCACCAAAATGAGGATGGGAAAAATTAACAGAATCAAATGAGAACAGCTAAAAATACCAGAGAGACATTTATATGTAGTTTATACTTTGTAAAATTACAGATACTAGAATTAAAAAATGCTTCAGGTAACATTTTATAAACAACACTTCTGTCAGATTTATCACTCTATTATTATTATTATCATTCATATCTTCAAATTCTTATCACACTCATCCTTATCTTTAATTCTTATCTAACGCATCATTATCTTTAATTCTATTTTGCTGTACCATACCAACAATGATGATCTGATAGAAAATATTACTATATCAAAAAGAATATACTCAGATCACAACATAATAGAGGTTCAGACATGTATGTGCTGGGCCCCAGACCAACAAAATGTGATCAGTCACAAGGGAGCCTTTAGCAAATTCAACTTCAGTAACAAAAACATAAGGTGGGACCAAGTCAACCAGGTCCTAAATAATATAAACTGGGAAGATATCCTAAACAACATGGATCCAAACCTATGTCTAGAACAAATTAACTCTGTGGCACTCAAGGTATGTTCAAGGCATATTCCTTTAAGGAAAAGGAAGAGAAGATGTAAACTAGAAAGAGAAAGGCGCTCCCTATACAGGCGATGGCAAAGAATAACAGAGCGGCTAAAGGAGGCCAATTTATCTGTAATATGAAAGGAGACACTGGTCAGAGAAATAGCAAACATCAAACTTAAGCTAAAGGAATCTTACAGGAGTCAAGAAATGCAAGAAGAACTAAAAGCATAAATGAAATTGAAACCCCAAATATTTCTTTTCTTATATCAAATTTAAGTCGAGAACAACATCCAGTATTAGGCCCTTACTTAGATGAGATGGTTCTTACACAGATGACAGCAAGGAAATGAGTGAGCTATTCAAGTCCCAATATGACTCAGTTTTTAGAGAGCCGCTAACCAGACCGAGAGTCGAAGACCTAAATGAATTTTTTATGAGCAAGACACAGAATTTGGTAGACTCAAACCTATCTGATATTATCCTGATGCCAAATGACTTCGAAAAGGTGATAAATGACATGCCCGTGCACTCTGCCCCAAGCCCAGACTCATGGAACTCTTTGTTCATCAAGAACTGCCAAAAACCCCTATCATGTGCTTTTAACATCCTGTGGAGAAGGAGCATGGATACAGGGGTCGTCCCACAGCTGGTGAAAACAACAGACACAGCCCCACTCCACAAAGGGGGCAGTAAAGAAATAGCAAAGAACTACGGACTGATAGCGCTAACATCCCATAACGTAAAAATCTTTGAAAGGGTTCTGAGAAGCCAGATCACCACTCATCTAGAGTATCGTGGACCTTGTCATAGTGATCCAGTAGTTGGGACAGATACTAGTGACCTGGTTTAGAGCATGTGTTTAGTCACTAGTACCTGTCCCAACTACTGGACCACTATGACAAGGTCCAGGATGCTCTAGAAGACAAACAAAATGCAGATGTGGTATACACAGACTTTGCAAAAATCTTTGACAAGTGTGACCATGGTATAATAGTGCACAAAATGTGTGATAAAAGAATAACAGGAAAAGTTGGTAGATGGATCTATAATTTCCTAACAAATAGAACACAGGTAGTAGTAGTAAACAGAGTAAAATCTGAGACAGCTGCTGTGAGAAGCTCTGTTCCACAAGGCACAGTACTCGTTCCCATCCTGTTCCTCATCCTCATATCTGACATAGACAGGGATGTAAGCCACAGTGCCATGTCTTCCTTTGCAGATGACACCCAAATTTTCATGACAGTGTCCTCCATTGAAGACACTGCAAGACTCCAGGCGGACATCAACCAAATCTTTAAATGGGCCACAGAAAACAATATGAAGTTCAGTGACGAGAAATTTCAATTACTCCAAGATGGAAAATGTGAGGAAATTAAAACTATATCGGATTATGAAACAAATTCCAACAACACAATAGAGCGAAAAACTAATGTAAAAGACCTGGGAGTGATAATGTCAGAGGATCTCACTTTCAAAGACCACAACATTGTATTGATCGCATCTGCTAGAAAAATGACAGAATGGATAATGGGAACCTTCGAAACTAGGGATGCCAAGCCCATGATGACACTCTTTAGGTCACTTTTTCTATCTAGGCTGGAATATTGCTGTCCACTAACAGCACCTTTTAAGGCAGGTGAAATTGCTGACCTAGAAAATGTACAGAGAACCTTCATGACACACATTAACTGTAATAAAACACCTTAGTTACTGGGAATACTTGAAGTTCCTCAACCTGTACTCCCTAGAATGCAAGCCAGAGAGATACGTGATTATATACACTTGGAAAATCCTAGAGGGATTAGTATCAAACTTGCACATGAAAATCATTCCCTATGAAAGCAAAAGACTCGGCAGATGATGCAAAATTCCCCCAATGAAAAGCAGAGGCAACACTAGCATGATAAGAGACAACACAATAAGTGTCAGGGGCCCAAGACTGTTCAACCGCCTGCCAGCAGTTGAACAGTTTTATAACTGTAGTGTAAGCACGCTTCTGGCAAGACAATGATGGAGTGAATGATGGTGAAAGTTTTTCTTTTTCAGGCTACCCTGCCTTGGTGGGAGACGGCTGATATGTTAATACAATAAAATAATAATACGTTATATAAT